AGAGACAGAGACAGAGACACAGAGAGAAAGGCTGAAAGGATGGAAAGAACAAATGGAACAGCTGTGACTGGGACGACCTGAGGTGGGGTGGCGCCCTGGGGTGTTGGGGGTGGGGGGGAATTGCAAGTGCAGAAACCCCTGGGGACGTTGCAGTGGGCTTCTCTGCAAAGAAAAAAATAAGTGATATCTGGGCATTTTGATTTTCCAAAGCCTTTCCTCTCGGTCAGCTCGAGTTAGGGAGAATCCTTTAAATCGCTGTTTAAAGAGACTAGAATGGACCATGTACATGTCCTAGGTAATCCTGAAAATCCAGGTTCGGCTGTTCCGCTTACCACCCCACCCGCTCCGGAGCAGAGCAGATGAGCTCCTAGCCTGGGCGCTTCCCGAGTCTGCACCAGACCTTCTCCGCATCCCCTCTCGTGCTCGTTGCCCGGAAGAAGCCCTGGTGAGCCCCGAGAGGAGTGTCCTGGAGGCTGCAAATTGCAGTCTCCTGGGCTTGCGACCCCCAGCAACAAGGTGCCTGTCTCGCCTGGCTCTTGCCGGAGTAAGAGGATTTGGTATTTGATTAATTCACAGGCGCGCACACACAGGTAACTGGCTTTGCCGGAAGAGGGGCCAGGATCCTGGGGCTGGGCTACCCCAGGGAGCTACCTCTAGGCAGCAGAGGCTGAAATCTGCTTCAGCTCCCTGCTGTCTGGGCGTGGCAGATGAAGTCTCCGGAGTCTAAAGCACTGCAGAAATCACACTTGCTGTGTTCTAATTGCACAGCTCAGGCAGGACTGGGAGGAGGCTGCCGAGTGCACAGAGAGAAACAGAGGGCATGCCGAAGTTCTTGATGTCCTCAGTAGTCGCTAGAGGGATCCCTTGGGGAAATGGTGCACACTCTGAGGTCACTTCCTCACACACGAGTAAGGGGAAACCACTCACCCAGGAAGCTCCACATTTGCAGAGCCCTGGGTGCCCCCTGTATCTGCCCACCGGGGGGCCCGCTGCCAAACACGGGGTCTCCTGCACTCACAGGAGGGGTGCACCGTGCTCTAGCCTCAGAATTGCCCTCTGAGCTCACCTGTCTGGCACCAATTTCTCTGCTTTAAATTGTGTGAGCGATTTGTGGCTGAGAGCTGCGAGATTCTTCAGACACATTGTTCCTTTGTGTGAATTCAAGAGGAGGTAAGGGAGAGAGGGGAAGCCAGGGTGTGTGTGTGTGTGTGTGTGTGTGTGTGATGTCTGTGTGGATGCACTAAAATAGTGGAGTTCTCCAGTGAATAAATTATTAGAAACAAACTAGTCAGGATGATCTGATCATTAATTACTTTCTCTCAGCCTGGTGTACATAGAATTTTCAGTGTGGGTTTCTGTCTTTACTGGTGAAATAAGTAGAGAGAGTAAAAGGGGAACTTTAGTTTTGCAGCATCGAAGCATCACGCTAGTCCTTTTACTCCAAGTATCAGGGAATAGCCTATGTGCCACATGAAACTATAAAGAAGCAGGAGAGTTACAGACTGAAAAAAAAAAAAGGCATTTGGCGAAAAGCGAAAGGATCGCAGGTCATCAGTTCACAAACAAAAATATCTTTCATGTCCACAAGAAACCTGAGCCTCATCTATAATTTCTCAGGATTTTTAAAAGTCATTTTGCATTAAGGCAAATTTTGATCAACATGAATTTTTCATTTAGTAGAAGTGTTGTGGTTTCGGTCAAGAATGTCCCCAAGAGACTTGTGTGCTCAGAGGCTGGACTTTTGGAAAGTGACTGGACCATGTGCGGCTACAGTTGACTTGCTCTTGGGAGTTAGGTCCTGGTTAAAGGTGGGTCACTGGCTTAAACTGGAGGTCTTTGTCTCCCTGACTGGCTCCTTCTTTATCTTCTTGATGCTTCCTGACCACCATGAGGTCAGCAGCTTTCTTCCACCATGCCTCTCTGCTATGCCATTTCCTGCCTTGGAGCCAACTGACCATGGACTGCACACTGTGACCCAAAGCCACATTTTCTTGCTTTAGTTTGTGCGTGTTGGTTATTTTGTCCAAAGGATGAAGAAAGTGACTAAGACAAAAAGTATCTCATTTAAACTCGTATTGAAACCCAAGATATTAAAAAATAATGAAGATGTTAGCTGGGATGAGTTGGACTACCCAACAAAACAATATATATTATTATTTTGTCAGGAGCTAAGTTGTATATTAGCTGCTACCATATTTATCCCAAGTAAAAGTCATGGTGATACATATGTCATTTCAAATGAAGAGCTGCAGGACATCTAAGCTTGGCCTTAGATGTATGGCTGCAATTCCTTTATAGAAATTAAATATGGGGCTGTATATCAGGACCTCCTAATCTGTATATAAAACCCTTTGAACACATACTCTTATTGAGGAGAATGACTAAAGAACTACCCTAATAAAAAGCCAAACATGAACATGTCCATTAGATAAAGATAATAACTGCCAAGCTGTCTGTAATTTCCATGAGCATGTTCTTAAATTGAAATCCACGATCTGATAAGAGTTAGCATAGTGATGAGAAGAGAGTGGGAGAATATTTAAAATTGGAATTGTTTCTAGAATGGCTGCTTTCTGTTCATCAGAAAAATCACTCCAGGTCTAGTTATCTTGTGGTGACCTCTGGTAATCTTCCCCTTTTAGTGCTAAGGCCACTGTGCAGATCCCTCCCACACTGAACCAGGCAGGCTGGCCCCGTCGCCAGGGGAGCACAGTGGCTAGTCACTGTGCATTAGTTTCAAGGCTAGGTCGTAGGAGACACCGCTCTGCTTTGATTTCTTGGCATATTTACTCTGACGGAGGCCAGCTGCCATACTGTAAGATACTCAAGCAGCTAGGTAAAAAAGCTCCCATGGAAAAGAAATCACCAGTCACATGGCAAACCACCTTGAAATACATCCTGAGTCCCTATCAGGCCTTCAGATAACAGGAACAACTGGAGTTCTAGCGTCAGGGAAGTGTGTGATCCTTAAAGATAAAGTTCCGTTTCATCTCTCTTTATGAGACTTGGTCCCTGCTTTCCAGAAGCATGTAGTTAAGTGGAAGGATTAAGATACAAACAAGTATTCAAAGGGACAAAAGAAAAACTTGAGCTCCTAAATAACTCTGTTAGAGCATTGTGAGTTTATATGTGGCCCTTAACTTAGAAGTGGTACAAGAATCCTATGTGAGTTCTGATCACTGTGTGCAGATTCTGAGTTCTGTCATGAAGCGTCCCTGTGAAAGCAGGCATGTGGCAAAGGACAGCCAGTGGTGAAGGATAGTTCAGAGGTAGGCATTAGAGCTGGACTCCAAAGTCTGAATCCCAGCCCTATCATGTGGTCTAGCTGTGCAGTCTTGGTTGAGCTACCTAATATTAACTCCTCACCTGTAAAATAAGGATTGTGATCATACCAGAGTCAATTCAGATACTGCACTTAGAATGGTTCCTGAGACACAGGGCCATGTTGATAGCACTAGAATCTCCATGTAAGGGGAAAAGTAACCAAGTTCATCCCTTCCTGATTTGATGCTAGGTATAGAAATTTACACCGAGTTCAGCAACTTCCTGTATGTGATAGATTGGGTGAAGACATAAGTCCTAGCACATAGGAAACACACGGTTTCCCATTTCTCCACTTAGCTTGAGTTTCTAAGCAGTGAAGACTGTGTGGGGAACTTTGAATCAAGAGTATAGAAAGGGTGAGACATCCACTGCTAAACCTCATGTAAATGAGCAAATTGCAGGCATGCTGGGGACAAAAATGATCAGTGCTTCATCACAGAGCAACAATGCTATTCGGGGTGGACACTTGGTTCTCTGCTCTTTCCAAGGTGTGAGCTGAACTAGCACAGACTATTGAATAATCTTGGCTTTGTGGTCATTCTGCAGAAATTCTAATCTATCAAGAAGTCGTTCATTCAACAAATATGCAGTATACTTCCACTAAGGTAGTAACTATGCTAGATTCTAAGGATAAAATAGTGAGCAAAGAGGCCAGAGCCCCATGCTTGTGAAGGTCACCCAGTGGTGGAAATGGCAGACATGTGTCAAGTAATCACAAAGTAGGTATCCACGCCAAGGACAAAAAGTCTTCTAAGCACATTTACTAGAGAAACTGGACCTGCCGGAAGAGATCAAGAAAGGCTTTCCCTAGGAAATGACACTTAAAACTCTATATCAGAAGGGTGAGTGGAACCTGGCTGGTTAAGGCTGATGGAAAGAGAAAGAAAAGATGAGTGTTGCAGAGAGAGAGAGATGAGTGTTCCAGAGGGGAAAAAAAAACGACCAGTGACTTGCTGGAGAACAGACCCCAGTGGCTGAGGCATGGGAAGCGAGGGGCAGGGGATAGATATGGGATCAGGGCACAGAAATAAGTGGAGCTATGTAAGCCATGAAGATGACATCAGAGATTCCAGTTTTTATGTTAAAACTGGAAGGAAGTTTAGGAAGCTATGGCAGGGCTTTAATCAGGGAGTTGACCTGAATGAACTGTGTGCTGACTGAAGGATTGCAAGAGTAGACACTGGGAGAATCATTAGGGTGATGGAAGAATCCATGGAGAGACTGTGGCAGTAAAATTAGTTAAAAGCAGTGATCACTGAGACTGGAGGGGCTGAGGAAAAGGGCGATATGTCATACAGAGGTGTGCGGTCTACAGAACGAGATGACTGGGAGTGGGGTCACTGGGAACAGGAGTAGTGATGAAGGATTCGACTTTTGGGGGAAGCAGAGCGAAAGTGGGTACTGGCCGCAGTATCAAATTTGTGGACATTTTAAAAAAGACTTCAAAGTCATTTAAGTTTTTAAGTATTTTATTATGGCACACAGGATAGAGAATGGAACAATGTTCTTGCTTAACCCAAGTATTTCTCAAATCAACCAGCTGTTTCCATTTGGCTAGTCACTTTCGCCGTACAGCTTGCACCTGTCTGAGGCGGAACCATGTGCATCCTCCCATGTTTAATGAGTATAAATGTGAAAAGCTTGGTTTCTGAGGAGACGCCTAATCTTTACAGCAGTGCAAAGGGATCACATAACTTGAAATTGAGACCACTTTGGTTTCAGGTGAAATTCATAACTCTCAAAGGTCATCTTAAAAACAGATACTGAACAAAGTGAGCAGACAGAGCAGTTGTTTAAGAACAGAGGCAGAGCAGCAGAGACAGTAATTTCATCTATATTCCACAGCAAATGCAAAGGCAAGAGCTTTCATAACTTTACAGCGGACAGACAATTTCTGGTGTTTTTATGCATTGTTCAACTGGTTATTGAAATCCAAGTATTTCCCAACTAAGACGGGCAGGGCAATGCCAGTGTAACACACAAATGTATGATCTTCCCCCTAAGTGTCTCCTAGTAATTTCATTACTGGTGTCTGTAATTTTTTAAAGATTTAAAATGTGTGACATTAACTGCTACTTATTTTTAGGCAATAGAATTAAGTGAACAACACACTGAATGATGAGCTCAGGATTGCAGGCAACGTGTTTACAGTGGCAAATAACCTTTGATAGCCTTTCTCCTCTCTAAATTATGCATTGATGAAACATTATTCCTTTTTGTTATATCATGTGCTCAGGTTTCAATATCTGCCCATATTTAGAATGTATCGAAAACCTAGCTATAGTGATTAACATGTGGGATCCATATTCTACCTATATTGCATGATTACATACTAGTTGTCCATGAAGGGTGTATTTGTCATATAATTTCAAAACTGCCTCCCATAAAATCATCCAGTAACATAATACAGCACATTTTGCAGAGTAAAGTATAGTCATTTCTGGACTCTTTCACTTCCTAATGTTTCTTATCAGTAAAATTTTGAGAGAAGAGATTTTGTAGTCATGACCTAACTGTATTACCCCGCAGAATTTCCAATTAAATAAGAAAGGTATTGTAGCTGTTAAATTTTAGCTTTTCAAAAAACTGAAGGTCAGTATTTCACTTGTATATTGTTTATATTGGTGCCACATTTAAAGGTATTTAAATTAAGTACAAAAGCCACAGCAAGAAATACGTCATTCAGTGTAACTTTATTTACTATTTATTGCACATAACTTGAGGTCTTTAATTTCTAACCACCAAAGGTTTAAAATACTATTCTTCCATGAGGTTTAACATTAACATCAGTAAATTCATTTATTCATTTTTTTTTTAATTGTAAACATCTGAATGATTCACATTGCCATAGATCCTGAACTCAAAAGCGTCAACCATGCACAGGCTGGCAGCAAGCCAGAAAGCCACTCTGCAAGCAAACGGATACTCTGCATAAGGAGAAAAGTCATAGCACAACATTGAATGTCCGACCTAGGTCATCTCAGAATTATACATATATTGACTTCTTAATTCATATAGGATCTGGAACTCAACTGGTTGGTTGGTGATGAGGTTGACCGGATTTCGGGAGAATTTTTCCTGGAATAGTTAAGGAAAAGGGGGCTCAATCTTTCTTCTTAGTGGCTTGTTCCTCGCTAGCACCTTCATCTTTCTTCTCCTCCTCTTCGGCTTCTTTGGTTTCCTCTGCTTCTTCACCTTCACCTCCTCCTTCTTCCTCCTCCTTTGCCTCTTCAGATTCTTCCTTGGCTACTTAAACACAGAAAGAAAATTTACAAGATCCAAATCCGGGTTAAGTCCAGTCAAAAGATGTCTGCCAAGGTGTTGTGAATTACGAAGCACTACTATGAAAATGCTTACCACAAACTTTTCCGCTCCACTCTCCCAAAAGATGCTTAACACACAACACTTTCCATGAACAACTTGCCAGGGAACACATATTTAAATGAACTGAGATTACCGCCTCTCTAAGACCTAATCTTAGTTCTATGATGTTTTTGACACTTGTTTTTGTTCTTTAGGACATCAAACTGCTGGATCAAATGTATGTACTAAAAATAAAAATTTGCAATTAGTATGCATCAATTCAAAATAAAATAAACCAAAAGAAAGAAATGTTTGACCAGTGGCTTCCCTTGTAATAAATAAATGCTTCATAAAGACATGTGGAACAAACGCAAAGATATTACTTAAGATTCTGACATCACGCGTGAACAGAGCTTCTCTAAGTGAGCAGGCCTGTGTGTAGCTCATCCCCCTCCTCCAAATCTCACACCCACTTTGTACTCACAGGCATCTGTTCTCATCATACCTTCTTCCTCCTCTGCTCCCTCCTCTTCTTCACCCTCTTCCTTCTCCTTCTCTTCCTCTTCAGCTTCTCCTTCAGAGGGGGGCTCATCTTTGGCTTCCTCAGCTTTGGCAGCCTCAATGGTCTCTTCCACCTCGATCTGCTCCTCCTGGACGTGGCTGGTGTAGTAAGAGGGGAAGGAGCGGGCAGACATCAGGTAGGAGCTGGACTGCAAACCGCTGTAGGCAGATCTGCCAAAGACCTGGGAGCTCTGGGAGTAGCCGCTGGTGATGCAGCCCACGCTGGTGAAACTGAGCCGGGTCTCCTCACCTTCCAAGAGTTTCCTGGGGAGCAGAGGAAGGGTGGTTAAAAAAACAACAACACGGGAAATGTGCTCAGTAAGTCTAAGCCCAGCATTCACCACTGACCCCCAATGCCACCTTTACAAGAAAATGCCAACAGAAGCAGGGTTAGGCAGTATCAAGACTTAGTGACTGGAACCAAACCAAACAATCTTGAATAGTCTTCTTAAATTTGAAACATAATGGGAAGCTAAGAAGAGGGCTCATTATTACTTCTTATATACTTGCCTAGAAACTTTCTTCTTGGAAGAAGCAATAAAATCTAACACTTCATAAATGTCAAAGAACTAGTCTTGGAGGTTCTGCTTCAATCTAACTTTGAATGGAATCAAACTTTCTTCCTAAGTCTTCATGGCTGCTCCCCTCCCCCCTCTGGCTTCACCTGTAAGCTGCAATCTCGATATCCAAAGCCATTTTCACATTGAGGAGGTCCTGGTATTCTTTTAGGTATCGGGCCATTTCGCTCTTCGTGGTTCTCAGCTCATTTTCTAATTTGTTGATTGTGTCCTGTTGGAAGATTAAAAAAAAAAAAAAAGCCCAGCATAAATCCCTACTGCTTTCATTACACTATAATACAGTTGCAAAGACCGAGTGTCAATTAAAGCCAAAGTGCACATTTCCATAAAATCTCCCCTAAAACTGCCTGTTCTCTAAAAAAACCTTTCTTGCCAGCTTCATAGGAAGCAGGAAAAGAAAAAAATATAAAAATATAAAAAAAAATAAGCAGTGAAAAATTCTTTCCTAAAATTTCTTTAGTTAGTATAATCTCACGATCACCATGAAATGTCTACAAATTTAAAAAAAAAAAAAAAACCAAAATGATAGAAAAACTATTTCTCACTAACTCTTCTCTAGCCAGGTCACATTCGAGAAAATTGATGCACTTCTTTATAGGAGAAAATAGCTAAATTGTTTAAAATGGTTTTCTTTAAAATAATTTCTGTGCCGCTATATTTCTACTCTCCCAAAAATAGAGCACCTTTAAAAAGATGGTTTACTTGTATCACCAGCTCCTTTCCTACAGCATTTGTATTGTATTCCTGGATACCTGCCGAGGGGCGGAAGTGGGTAAGAACTAGTCCTACAGCGCGCTGGTTCAGAAGGCAGGAACCCAATCCGCCATGTTTATCAACCAGAGCGTCTAATAGGTGCTGAAAGTAACTTGTGCTTGCTGCAGGCCCGCAGAGAAAGGATATCACCGCAGGCCTGAGGCAACGCCCAGCTTCCACTCCTTCCCCTCCCCCGCCCAAGCCTCTAGCTGGGCTGGGCTGCTCTCCAGCAGAACACAGGCTCTGCACCAGGCCCAGCCCCACACTGCGGTCGCGCCCCGCCCCCAAGTGCCCCACCCCTACCACCAGTCCCCCAGGAGCCCCATCCTACCCCGGTAGCTGCCTGCAGGAGCCTCACCCTTGGTGTCTACAGTACTTCTGGGGGCACTGTCAACCCCCACCTCTGCAGGCCGCCCCACCCCCACTGGGTTCTGGACGGTGCGGTACCTGCATAGCACTGATGTCGGCGTTCTGCTTGTCCTCCAGCTCCTGCAGCTGCTTCTCTAGCGCTTCATTCATGCCCCGGCATGCTTCGATCTCCAAGGTCTTGGCCTTGAGCAGGCGGCGGCTCTCGGACACCTCGTCCTTGGCCGCGCGCACGGCGTCGGTGTTCTTGGCGGCGCTCTCGGTCAGCACGGTGAATCGGCTCTTGAACCACTCTTCGGCGTTCTGCATGTTCTTGGCGGCCAGCTTCTCATACTGCGCGCGGATGTCCTTGAGCGCGGCGGAGAGGTCGGGCTTGGAGGACACGTCCATCTCCACGGAGATCTGCGCATACTGAATCTGGGCCTGCAGCTCGGCGATCTCCTCCTCGTGCACCTTCTTCAGAAAGGCGATTTCGTCCATCAGGCTGTCGATGCGCTTCTCAAGCTCGGCGCGGGCGAGCGCAGCCTCGTCGGCGCCCTTGCGCGCTTCCATCAGCCTGCCCTCGGCGTCCTCGCGGCTCAGCACCTCCTCTTCATAGCGCGCCTGCAGGTTGCGCAGCGTCTCCTCCAGCCCCTCGCGCTCGCCCTGGAGCGCCTGCTTCTCGTTGGTGGCGTCTTCCGCCGCCAGGCGCAGGTCGCGGATCTCCTGCTCGTACAGCGCCCGGAAGCGGGACGGCTCGGAGTGCTTCTGGCGCAGCACCAACAGCTCGGCTTCCAGGACCTTGTTCTGCTGCTCCAGCTCGTGCACGCGCTCGATGAAGCTGGCGAAGCGGTCGTTGAGGTCCTGGAGCTGCGCTTTCTCCTGCGTGCGGATCGACTTGAGGTCGTTGCTGATGGCAGCCACCTGGCTCAGGTCGAGGTTCTCCAGGCTCGGCATCAAGGAGCCGGAGCTGGACGAGTAGCTGCGGCGCACGGACAGCGAGGAGGAGACCGGCGCGGAGTAGCTGGAGTACGCGGAGCGCGCGGTGCTGTAGCCGCTGCGCACGCTGGAGATGTGCACCCGGGGCGCCTCCACGTAGCGCCGCTTGTAGGAGGTCGAGTAGTACGGCTCGTAGCTGAAGGAACTCATGGTGGCGGCCGGTGCCGCTCCGGCCGGCGGCGGAGGTGGGGGCCTAGAGAGAAGGAAGGACGGGGCGGAGAGGGAAAGGGGAGGATGGATGGCTGTGTGCGGCTCGGCGCCGTCCTGCCACCCCTATTTATACGCCGGAGGATTCTGACGCAGCCTGCGATCGATCACCGCGCGCCGGCCAGTGGGGGCAGCGCGCCGCAGCCAGGGGCGGATTCTGCGCAGAAGGGAAGGCGGGGGCGAGCGGCAGGCGGCTGCGGAGCTGCGGCTCTGTCCTCCCGGCTTTTCGCAGAGGCCCTCGGCTTTTTCTGAGACCCCACACCCCCTACTCATTTCCTTTCCCTTCCCACCCACCCGGCCCCACCTGCTTATTATGCCCGGAGCCCGTATCACTGAGATGCTTCAGTGTGCCCAATAACAGGTTCTCACTCTCCACTGACACCTCGGCTTTTCATACCCGCTACCTCGAGTACACCCCGACCCCCAGGTAGACCCTTCCCCACCTGGGACCCAGGGTGACGCCCCATTTGTGTTTCTGACGGCGATGCGTGCCCCTAGGGCGTTTGAGGTAGGAATAATAGGGTAGGGGTGTACGTATGCGGCAGTTAGAGAGAAGTTTTACATTTCTTTTTTTCTGGCTGTTTCTGGTAATTTCTTTAGTTCTCCCTTTCTCCTGGCTGTTTTTCTTTCGTATTTCAACACTCGGAGGATATGACCCAACACACACACTCACACACACACTCTCTCTCTCTTTCTCTCTCTCTCTCTCTCTCTCTCTCTCTCTCTCACACACACACACACACACACACACACACACACACACGCACACACGCACACACAGCCTAGCACTGCAGGTGGTCACTTCAGCATTTGTAACCTTTTAAGAGCAGTTAATCGGCCTGTTCGTGTTCCTAGATTTTCTCCTTTCTTTGTGGGGGAACGAAGCCTCCGCGCTTTAGTGTGGCGGCGGTGAGTAGGGGATGAGTTTGGAACGAGCGGGACGAAGGCTGCTTGCTGGACCGCTGCGCGCTTTGGGCAGCTGGGAACTTCAGGCTGCCTTGTCTTCCCAAAGCTAAATTCCTGCAGGACGCCGCCCTCCACCCCACTAAAGGCCTCCAGCTCTCTTTTTACACGTGTTTGGCTCCTAACCTGATGATTTCGACAATCCATGCCGCAGGGGCTGATTTTGAGAGAGAATTTGCTGCGGCCGCAGCATGCACCGGGTGTGGCCTCCGGGGAGAACTCGGCACCGAGACTCCACGCTGGGGCGGACAGAATGCAGCCGCGTGGTTCCTCCCGGTTCACTACAATAAATAGGTAACACATGCAGTCGGGATCCGTAGGTTCCTTAGCCGGGAAGAGGGGGCCGTAAGGCACACGGATGCAGCCCGCGGCCACCGGGCACTTTCACTCCCAGAGTTGGCGGTGCCTGGGCTTTCATGGGAGAGGGGATGTGCGCAGGGTCACAGAAGATACCCAAGATTTTTCTGAGCAAGCATTTAATATTTTTATTTTGTTTATGCAACACAGCATTTGACATAAGCTTCCTTCTTTTTTCAAGGAGCATTAAAAGGAAACGTGTACGCTTTCAACAGACAGGCTGGAGTCCCTTTGCCGGTGGCCCTCAGAGGATGAAGCATATAGAACCGAGATGAAGAGAATGGGGTGAGGTTGATCCCTCGAGGTCCTTTCAGACCTTAAAATGACCCTGTAATTCTGATACCCCACCCTCCTCAAGGCAGAGGGAAGGACTGCAGCAGAAAACTTACTTCCGTGGGATTTCCCAGCAATGGTCTACTTTCCGATAACCAGAAACATCAGTGTCAGGGTTTTAATCTGTCAGGGCTATGGCACCTCGGAGGTCTCTCCATGCTCACACACTCTAGGATGTCAAGCGTAAGGTCATGAGGCTGCACAGAACCTTGGCCCTGGCAGACCTGGCAGGGCACTTGCTAGGATGACTTTGTAGCCTGCATACCCTTGCTTCTGTCATTCATCAGCTGTGAGAGGAAGGGCCGAAGCAGACCCCAATAACTCATATATTTTTCTGCTCTCAGTTACCCATATTAGATGAAAAGTGGAAGAATGGATTTATTTTTAATCTGCTCCATATAAATCCCACTCTTTCACACTCAGTGTGTGCGTGGGTCCACGTACCATACGTTCCTGGGGGCTCGTGAGTCCTTTCTTTTGTGCAGTCTCCTTTCCATGGGGTTTCAGGTTTTAAGCCCATCAGCATTTTTAGATTGATTGAATTACTTATTTTTGCCATGGCTTCTTGCTGAAGCCTTTGACTGCAGAGAAGGCTGGCCAGGAGGGAGTGGAGTGGCTGTGCTGCAGGGCCAGGGAGAGGCTGCAGAGAAGAAGCTGGTAGAGCACCTGCTGCCGCCCTTTGCCTGCAGGAAGAGGAGGTACACCGGCATGGTGGATGGGGAGAATGGGAGGACACCGGGGCCCTTCCCTTTGCTGACCCAGGCCCAGGGTGTGGTCATCCTACCTTGGGCCTTGCCCTGCTGGGTGCCTGGCCTTTTTTCAATGTTCTGTCCAGTCATCCTCCTTTTTAAATCCTCTTCCCAGAATTCTGCTCTGCAAGCCCACAGGACCATGTGCCCCCTTGTGACACAGCTATGGTGAAGTGAGCAATGTTAGAAAATCAGGTTAGCAAGAAAAACTTGCCTTTTCCTTCCCCTCACCAGAAATGTTTCTATATCAGGGAGTATTGGCCTCACCTCTTTAGAAGGAAGGTTTTGTGTCTCATTGTATACTTGTCCATTTATTCCCCTTTAAGCATATTTTCCAAGGACAGACATGAAAATGATTGAGTGTTACCAACAAAACACTCTCAGGGATCAAAATTACTCAAAAAATAAATATAGAAATCTAGGGCTGAGGGTACAGCTCAGTGGCACAGCACCTGCCTGGCAAGTGCAAGGTCCTGAGTTCGATTCCCAGTACTAAAAAAAAAAAAGAAAGAAAGAAAGAAAAAGAAAGAAGTCTATTGAAGCCACACATTAATAAATAGTATTGCTACCAATCTGCTTATTTCTGTAATCCTTTAAAAAACTATTTCAGGTTATTTGTTGAAAAGCAAAATAGATGCTCATTACCATAAAGCTCATAGCTTTTAACTCTTTTAGAATCACTGAAAATATTTCACTTCCTCCCCATTGCCCTTAGAACTTGAGAGCTTCAGATGGCTAGAGCTCAGTGACTGGTGGCTTTTCCACTCCTTATTCTGAAACCCTTTGGCACAAGTTCTGTCGTGGCAGTTGCTTTAAAAGGTGCAGCTTTAGTCTGAAATTCTGACAGGGAAAAGCTTCAGTGTGGGGTCAGGAGAGCCAACTTCTGTCCTGCAACAGCAACATGTGAAAATAGAGCTAGATCAGAACAGCAGCTGGGTCTCCATGCACCTCACCATGAGGGAGATTTATCAGTGTCAGTGAAATGGCATCAGCACGCCCATGCAAGGAGGGCTGAAGGAAATAACACGTGCAGGTGCTTGCTATCCATTGCTTGGTAGCAAAAGCCCTGTGACATGGACATTCAGAGCCAACAGCTGAGGCCACACGGGTTAAAAATTTGCCAAGTCACACAGCTACCTCAAGCCAGAGCTCTACTTGCTTCCAGATAGAGTGGTGCTCTGCTCATAGGCATTTTCTGCCTCCCTGTCTCTATGAAATTTGAAAAATGCATGCCACAGTCTGCAGAATCTAACCTGCATATAATATAATAAACCTCTCCTGTTTAGGGGACACCAGTATGAACTGGTCTATACCATGAGGAAATTGATAGTGAGAATGCTTCATTTGGAGAGCTAATGGTGGTAATAGCTGTATGATTGATATAACTATCTCAGTGTAAAAAGAATTACTACCATCAGTATAACAGGACACATTAGCTGCTGATGTAACTTTTGGGGAGGGGTGACAGCTCTGAACATTGGTTTACAAAGCACTCTTTCAGGAATTAATAAGCTAAAATGCAATTTAGGTGAGTAAACTCTTTAAAATAAACCACAGCATGCCTTCCACTAATTTCTAATTAAAATATTTTCATTTTCCACATCTATGAATGGGTTTTCTTTGAAAAAAAAAAGAGTGACCTTAAAATTTGCTATAATGAATAGAAGAAATGCTGGCACTCGGCATCTCATTATCCAGTTTGTCCTGCCTCCTACAATTTTTTAAAATTTTTTTTTCAAATATGAATAAAATCTACAGGAATGTATGACTATCTTTCGTCTTTTTTTTCTCGAAACAGGTTTATTTCTGTGTATAATATGCTTACCGCAGGACTTACACGTAAATCCCTTCCATATCTTGGGAAATATATTTGAAAGAAAACTTTCTCCATTCTAATATAAAATGTGCCTACATTTCCAGCCCCACACTTTGAAAATGGTGCATAATAAAGTGTGCTTTGCAGCTATATAAAGTTTAGAGTGCAGCAGAAGTGAGAATGTCACTTGAATAAATTAAAGATGAAAACAGCATGTTTATATTCAGAACACGTGCGCCATTAAAAATGACAACTTACTGCTGTCCATGCAGAAATGATGGTGATAAGTTCGGATCCTTAAATGCTTGCTCCACGGAATAAGCCAAGATAATGTATTTCCCCCCGAGGGGCCTGCCCCACCGTGGCCTGCCCTCAATCACAGTCCCTATTCAGAGGTAAGAAGGTCCGCTGGGGACAGCCATTCCAGGCAGGTCACAAATATCAGTCAGCCAACAGTACCAACTCTGTGTCCGTTGTTCTTCCTGACTGCAAGGAAATACAAGTTGCTTCTGCAGTTTGGGCACTAACCAGCCACACAGTATTCTGTGCAGCACCTGGATTCCTTTGCTGACCTTTACAGTGGTTGATTAAATCAATAGGAGGAATGTGAGGTTTCATGTTTGCAAAGACAGAGGATAAGCACTTCCGTCTGCAGGAGACAAAGCCCCAAGGTTGGCTCTTTCACAGCCGCACTGGAGCCCATCCAGGGCAGCAGCTCACTTCCTTGCCAGTCCTTCGCTGCAGCAGGAATGCAGCAAATGCTGCAGAATTGCAAATGGGCGGATCCCTGGATTCCTACAGCAAAGCTG